CGTTCCTCAAAGATCAGCTAAGGATCAACTCATTCTTTTGACCCATCACATTGATCGTCTCTCTGATAGAGGGCAGAAATTTGACAGTGCATTTCTCGACTTCCAGAAAGCTTTTAATAAAGTGCATCATCCCACGCTCCTGAGCCACATGAATACCTTCATGGCGCCAGAGGCACACGCCTGGTTTAGATCATTTGCTTGACTAAGTGTGAAGCTCGATGCAACTCACTCATCCCAGTATATGCTAAACTGTGGTGTCCCCCAGGGTTCACACTTTGCACCACCACTTTTTCTTTTGTATACCAATTCCCTTCCTGATATAATAATAATCTTTATTTCAGGATTACCCAAAGGCTAACGCCTTAAGTTAACCATAGCTCACCCTTCCTTTTTGCTGATGATGTCACTCTTCTAAATGCTCATGATGTATCCCTCTCCCTAGATGAGAACCTATCCCACCTCCAGCAGGAATATTGCCAGCTGTAGCCCTTTCCCAAAGATGCTCGCCACTTTTTTCGCAACTTTTCGTTGTTTAGGAAGAAAATCGCAACCTTCTTCATTTTCGCGAACTATTTCGCAACTTTCCTCAACCTTAGCGCAATTGGTGACATGGCATGGGGTCAAAAGGTCAAGTCACCGACTCACCGACTAGACTACTAGTACATGTACATGTGGGACAAATGCATAATACTCGTACTCGCTCATTTCTCGCCTGCCTTCAGACTGATTTCAGAGAAACAGTAGATCAACGGTAGCTGTGATAATGTGCACTGAAGTACAAATAGTTCCCTTTGCCTTGCACTGGAATGATGTACATGTAGGATACATGCAACAGGCTACTGGCACTGTGTAAAGTGGTGGTTCACAGCAGGAAGGGGTGTAGATCTACGAGTTTGCTGTCGATGCACTTCTGCTATTTCTGCTAGGTCCCTTTTTTTTGTAGGTTTTGCACAAGAACTCTCCAATTCTAGGTTGCGATATTAGCAACTTTTGAGCTTTTTCTGAAAATATGGATGCGATTTCAGCAACTAGCACTTGTTTTGGCACGGTTGCGAAAAGCATAAGTTGCGATAAATTATGGCATCTTTGGGAAAGGGCTAGCCAGCTGCCAGCATTGGGCACAGAAAATACATGGCAAATTCTCTCCTGAAAAAACCGTCATCTTGTCCAATTACAGCGTTTCTGAATCCTCCTCTGTGTCAATGGACAACGTTTTAATGGGATATGGGCGCTCCGCTAAACATCTCGGTGTAGAGCTCAGTGATGGTTTGAAGTTCCACGACCACTTCCACGCCATCTTCAGGAGGTTCCAGCAACGTGTTAATCTGTTATGCTTTATGGACCGCCATTTACCATCATCATACATTGCTCTCCTGTATACAAGTAAGTCTTACTTTGAAGTACGTACGTCCGGCAATTGAGTATGCCATTCCTGTCTGGTCCCTTAGGATCACATCCGCTCAGTTAGAGTCCCTTGATGTACTCCAGGCTAAGGTTTGCCGGCGACTCCTGAGGTCTGCGAATATAGACTTTGACAACTTTGAATCAAAATCTAATTTGAATAGATTGTGTCACTTGGAATCCCTGCAATTATTTCGCCGTATCTTCATTTCTCTGGTTGTTTTATCTAAGTACATCAATTTCCACCCAGACTATCTCTCTCGCTTTGCGATTACCATCTCACGTAGTGCCTGTGGGCCCATGAAGCTCATTTTTAACTCATATGGCCGAATTTTCTCATGTCTCTTTCCTACAGAAAACTGGTGCACTTTGGAATCGTCTCCCACCCCGATTGACAACTTTAGATTCCCTAAAAGAATTCAAGCGTCATTTACGTATTTACATTGCAAAGTATCAGTTCAACTGTACTGGTATCCCTTTGATGTGCAATCATTGATTTACATGTACACTGCTTGTTCTTTCACTGTATCTTTTGTACAGCATCTCTCTGTTTCCGAACTCATTTTGCACATTTTCTCTTTTCCCAACTCCAATGTTCATTGTATATACACAAAAATAGGAGATCCCCCCGATAGGCGTCAGCCTTTGGGTAATCCTGAAATAAAGATTATATTTATAATTATATTATATCCGCAAATAATTGAATCATGAATGCTTGACAAAAGCGAGGAATCAAGTACTCGTACTGTATCAAAACGCAGAAATTTTCGGTGGTGTAATATTTTCGGTATTCTCCAAAATCGGCGGTTCGGCGGAGGGAAATTTTCGGTAAACCCGCGTTCCAGGTAAATGTACAGCTAGCTAGTACTATTATCGACATTTTCGGTGCGTTTTATTTTCGGTAAAAATGTCGGTACCGAATTAGTTACCGAAAATAAAACACCGAAAACTTCTGCTTTTACAGCAAGTAGTACTAGTAGGGCCGGAGGGGGACTTACCGCGCGAACACATACTGTAGAATGAACTGTAGATTATACTGAAAGCTACGGGACACAGAAAGAGAGCCTCGGCTCGAGACACTCCGTAGGTGCAAATTGCAAACCCAACGCCACGGCGAGGCTGATTGTGGACGATCGCTACTGCAATTGTAGCTACATGTCCCAAAAGGGAGTTGTGCAATGGCTGCATGCCGGATATGCCCCAACAAGGAGTCGGTGCACAGGTTGAGATCCGCTCCATCGGCACATGTGCACATGCAGTGAAGCTGCCACTTGTCTTTTACCATCAGTCAGGCATCACATCTACAGGACCGTGATATGGTAGACAGGGCCGAGTTGAGTATCCGTTCCAGAGGTAATTTTGGGAATCACCTAGTCCTTCTTGCTCCAGTGCTAGCAGTAACGTTAGCATGGCCAGCACTATAGTCTGACTTACACCCCTACACTGGAGCAGGCTTCTACAGCACAACAAAATTAATATCCAAGAGCGAGAGCGCCAGGCCACGGGCAAGCTTTTAGTTCCCGGCTTCCCATAGCAATCCTAGAGGGTGGTGGCGTTCCCACGCGCGGCGGATGCGGAAAACTCGGCTTCCAGCCGAGTCTCACGCGAACAGTGAAATTAATTATTTTATTATTTATTTCCCACAGCAAGTACAATTGCCACGGCATGCACCAGTGGTCCACCTTCTTTACTGATGAATACAGTGTCTGCTGCAGGAGTACTACTGCTAGTCGTGTCTACAGCTTGCGGGCTCAAGTCTGAGTCATATCCTTTATTGCTGAACCCACAAATTGTGATACAGATAATTGTAAAGAACCATTCCAGGTAAACGGAAAAAGCCGTTACTAATGGGAAAAGGCCGTGGTTTAACCCGGACGCCACAAGCTACAACCTGTAGACTCGTGACAAAACAGTAACGGAAGCGTAGAATGGAACAAAACAAACTTTTTCCTCTTGGAAAAAAAGAAAGAAGAGCAAAAAGAACCGGAAACTCCCCTGAAAACTCGGAACAAGTACACAGCTAGGGAGTTTGTCATATCCTCGGATTTGACGACTCCCTTCCACAGCTACAGGTTCGCTTGTGCAGAATCAGAGTGAAGGTGCATAAATACGCAAGAACCAGAGGATAAAATTTAATTAAAAGTAGAGTGCGCCTGTTCCAGGCCTACCAAAGTACCATGTCTCCGTTGGTGCACCTGCTAGCTGCTGGTCCAATAATGTTCTGACAAGAGCCACATTTGGAAGCTAAAGCTATATGTGGCCCTGTGTAATTGCCATAATATGTGGCCGTGGAGGACTGGGTATTCCCGATCGAGCAGAGTTCACATTCGACGGGGCGCGACGTAAGGATCGACGGGAAGCGACGGGACAGTCTGACGGCGTCCAATGGCTATGTGAACACCAGGAACGGGAACGCAACCGTATTATCTACTGTACAAAGTCTACGGATCGGGAAGCGACGGGCCGGAAGATCGAGTCATACTCAGTCATAGATCGATCAAGCATAGGGAGTCGTAAAATACGACTCCCTGATCGTGCATACCGCGTACCGGTGATATCAATAACCCCCCCCCCCCCCGGCCCCCCTCTTGGTGATACACTGTATCAACTAACTAATACTTACATGTAGTCTTATTATTATTATTATTATTATTATAGACAACACCTCATGGCATGAGAAGAAAATCAGCCAGTACGGGAGCTGTGGGTGTTAACCAACCATGGTGAATAAAAGAAGAAAAGTAATGGTCAAGACGGAGAAGCATGGGCGGGACAGGTGATGGTGAATCTAGTGAGCAGATTTAAATGCGTCCAGAGTACATGTACTGGCATTGCGCGTAGTAGCGGGCAGCGCAAGCCAAGCAGAGTAAGCAACAAAGAGTGGAGAGTGTACAAGGGAGGACGTTTTTTCCAAGGGGAGGGCAACAGAGCATCTTGTCTGGGAGCCATCTGTGATTCGGAACCAGTTATACACGCTAAGATGAGGAGGATGTAGAGCTAGTTTAAATTTGTGAGCAAAAGTGCAAATTAATTTTTGACGATGGGTCGACAGTGGGCAAGCATTTGCAAGGACATACAGGGAAGCAGAAGAGTAGAGAGGGGGTAGACTAAACAGGATACGAAGAAGTTTTCTATGGTGGATTTCGAGACGCTCAGCAAGAACCGAGGACAAGCCACACCAGCTAACAGCAGCGTACATGAAAAGAGGCAGGATGTACAGTTTGTAAAACAAAATTTTACATTTGAAAGGAAGATGGAAACAATGGGGACGTATAACACCTAGGGCAGAGCTTGAACGGCTGCAAAGAGCATCAATATGGAAAGACCAAGAGAGACGATCATCTTACTTATTATTCAAGAGTACTGAGTAGATAAACACTCTTCATGTCTTGGTGATATGCGGTGACGTGAGTGAATAAAAGTTAGTTAAAAAAAATTAATATCAAAACATTTTTTCATTCACAATGCATTGCACAAGTACGTAGACTCTCTACGCGTACCGAACTCGTACAAATACAAAGGCAATTGTAGTGTGCAATTACAAGGGCACAAATGCTACAGCCGTTTTGTAGTTTGTGTATTGTTCTCTTTAATTTGTC